CGATTCACTCGCCGAACGCCCCTTTGCCACCACGTCCTTGGCAGCGCCAGTGCTGGGGCCGTTTCTCACCCCCACCAGCATTGTCTCTTTGTTTTCCCCCCTGCTCTCCCATCTGCTGTCTCTGGGCTCCTACCAAGGACGTCATTTCTTTAGACAAAAGAGCTTCTCCTTGGTTGTTTTGTGTGTGTGGAGTGCCCAGTCAATAGGGATCTGCATCCAGGGTGGATTAGTAAATAGTAACTATTGTTATGCTCCAGCCTTTCTGGGGATGGTTTTTCATGTGGCGTTGGCTGGGAACACTCCACCTTTGTCACCTTTGGTAGCTTTGCAAGGGCAGGGCAGCACATAGTCTTTACTAGTGATAGTAAAGCTACTTTAAGATTTAACCCCACAGAGGAACCTGCTTTCTGTAGCAGGAAATAAAGAAAAGCAGTGATCCAGCAGGATGGACTCGTGTTTGCTGTAAAATATAAACAGCATTTCAGGAGAATAGCACCCTAAGCGAAGCGTGTATTTGTTCCTTCCTTCACGATGCAGATAGCGTGGAAAACAATAGATGTTTAGCAAAAAAAGAAAGTCAGATTTTGTCATTGCCATGAATATTTAAATACCACAAAACAAATCAGTGTGGGATCAGGTAAGAGACTTGCCAGCTCTCATTCTCACCTTTATTTTTAAGGCAAGCAAAGCGCTGCTGTATCTGTAGAACTCCACTTGACAAAGGCATTTAGTATTTGTATATACTGGAAAATATCTGGGAAACCATATCAGATATTATTCCTAGATCTAAACCAGTGGTGCTGACTCAGTATTCTCAGCGTCAGGTTTTTCACTTTTAATTTGAACAGAGAATTTGCTCGTGGGACCTCAACAAAATATTTGTCCTTATTGCTGTGCTGACACTTGCTGCCCTGCACCAGAAGGGAATACATAACAGTGCATGTTGTTAAAATAGAATCAGAGAATCATTCAGGTTGGAAAAGACCTTTAAGATCATCCAGTCCAACCATGAACCCAACACTGACAAGTCCCCTATGACTAACCCATGTCCCTCAGCACTATGTCTACACGACTCTTCAATCCCACCAGGGATGGGGACTCCACCACCTCCCTGGGCAGCTTGTTGCAATGCTTGAGAACCCTTTCAGGAAATAAATTCTTCCTGACATCCAATTTAAAGCTCCCCTGGTACAAATTGAGGTTGTTTCCTCTTGTCCTGTCACTTGTTACTTGGGAGAAGAGACCAATACCCGTGATATATCTCTAAGAGGGGGGAAAAAAAAAAGGAAAAGAAAATAAAAAAGGTATAGCTAAGACTTGCCATCACTGACATGACACACTGGCCTGGCCTTGGCAAAGGCAGGACAGAGCCTCCTTCACTCAGAATGGTTTGGGTTGGAAGGGACCTTAAAGTTTACCCAGTCCCACCCCCCCTGCCAGCAGCAGGGACCCCTTCCACTAGACCAGGTTGCTCAAAGCCTCATCCAGCCTGGCCTTCAACACTTCCAGGGAGGAGCAGCCACAGCTTCTCTGGCCAACCTGGGACACTGTCTCACCACCCTCACGGACAAGAATTTCTTCCTCACATCTCATCTCCATCTCCCCTCTTCCACTTTCAAGCCATCACCCCTTATTCTATCACTCCCTTCCCTTGTCCAAAGTCCCTCCCCAGCTTCCTTGTAGGCTCCCCTCAGGTATTGGAAGGCCCTTGTACCTGAGCATTTAATTCTGAAACATAAAACATATTCAATTCCTGGAGGAAGGAGGTTGTGCCATTAGGAAAAAAGCTCTTCCTGCAGGTGTAATTGTCATCAGAACTGCCTCTGCCACCTTGGAGCTGCATTAGAACTTTCTCTGTGCCTTTGTTAAAAAAAACACATACTGCAAAAGACGTGTCACATCTCCTGGAAGATTGCAATGCCAGAGTGACATTTTCTTAAGGAAGAAGTACTTGGTATTTTTTGGAGCCACGTGTCTTAAAAAAAAACAAAGAAGCAGCATTTTTTATTGTGGCGCCGGATGGAGATCATTCTACCTGTGGTGCAGGTCCACTCGTCTCTCTACAAAGCTTTGTCCTGTCCAAACATGCATAGTCATTACTTTGCCAAGAAATTATTGACATCTTCATCACATCTCCAAGAACCCATTAATATCTGTAAATATCCTTTTCACACACACACTGGTCATCTTCAGGGCTCCTCTGGTGCTCGTGAAACTTCAGTCACTGCCCTTTAGTTGGACTTTTCTTCTGCCTTTGCTTAGTTCATCTTTTAAAAACTGGAACCCCAGAAGTTCCAGACAAACTTAAGGAAAAACTTCTTCACTGTGAGGGTGCCAGAGCCCTGGGACAGGCTGCCCAGAGAGGGTGTGGAGTCTCCATCTCTGGAGATGTTCAAACCCACCTGGA